TAAACAGACAAGGCAGGTGGCATTTCTGATAGGTCCTGCATATTTTAATTTGGGGATGAAGTATTCCTAGGGCAAAGCCTTACCACCTCCAAGTGCTATTAGTCCATTAGAGTTAAACCATTTTTCCTTACGGCACATGACAAATACACCTTCTGCTCTAAGTTTGGTCTTGTCTGCGTGGTAAGTCTTGCCTCTATAGGTTTTGTTGCTTATACCCTTAATGTTATCTATTAATTTTTAATGTAAGTGAAGTGTGTGCTACAGTAGCTGTACTCTTTTGGAAGAAATGGAAATCTTTTTCCCTGCAAATAAACCTTCTTTTCATTTCACTGTAACTGAATATTGGAAACTATTACATCCTTCTTGGCTTTCTACATGCCTCAGAAGTTCCACCCCACTATTTGGTCCTTTGTTTCAGCCCAGAATGAACCAATGCATTTGCAATGCATTACTTATTGAAACTTATTTGTATATAATTTGGCATCACTTCCTCTAACGTAAGGAAGAAGATGACTCAGGAAACCTAACTTTCAAATAATTCTAAGCTGAATACTACTTTCTAATGAAATATTTTTGCCTGTTAAATTGTTATTCAGTTATTTTTAAACAATGTCTTTAGAAATACACTTTTAAAACCAGATTTATATGATCATTTTGCATTCATTTGGATTTTAGCAGCGTTTGGATGGAGTGCCTGATGTACATACCCCGTATGTTGTCCAAGTTACAGGTCAGCACTGATGTGTTACCCATTGGGACTGTGGCCTTTTTGAGCAAAACATTGTCCTTGCATTTTAAATGGAAACTTGAAAGATACAGCAGAGGTTTGTGGGAGTTCTTGTCAGACTTACTATATGAAAGGCTCCATTTTTTCCTTGTGGAGTCAAAGACAAAATTAAATAAATGTTTAAAAGCATTTAGCCTGCAGTTAAATATCCAGGCATTCTTTGAAAAATACACATCAAGTTGAAAAAAGTTTAAACTGACTAGTATCTGTGGTAGAGGGATTGTCAGAGCATTTTCACGGAGATCCACAACCTATTTGGAAATAATACAGAATTTGATAAGGCTTACAATGGAGTTCTTAGTGCAACATCTTACAACAGTGTTTTAGTGTACAAGCACTAATGTAGTTCTGTGAACAATACATGTGGTTAGGATTTCGGTAATGTTGATTGAAGCATTTTAACGTAGATGAAAAGTTTAAATTGTGCTACTTAGAATTCTCCCATTATAGACTTACCTCTTTTGTCAATAGGGAGCTGCAGGGCTCTTGCCATGGAAGGGATGGGGGTAGAAAGGGACATGTATGTGTTTAAGGCAGTTATGGGTTGGTTTGTGGCATACATAAACTGAATTTATGGTTATATCTTGTACATTTTAGTGTGTGTGTTTTCCTACACATAAAAAGCAAATATATAAAAATATTTTCACCATTTGCTCTAGTTTCTTAATTGTACACTAGTATTATAATCAGAACCATATAATCATGCTGAATAGTTGGTAAATAGTATCTTTAATGATTAACATAAAATATTGGAACAGATGTATTGCTTTCCAACCTGTAATTTGTTGAGATCTCTGAAGGCATCTGGATGAATTTTAGTTATCTTGTTGTGTCGCAGGTCAATGTCCTTCAGCTGTGAACAGTTTTGAAAATCCTTTGGGTCAATCCGTTGTATGGCATTGAATGACATATGGACAGTTTGTAAAGACTGCAGGAGGCCTAGTCCTAGGAAGAAAAAAACCTATTTTGCATTTCATATTCTTGTTTTCCCAGTTGCATCAAGTGTCTTTATAAATTTTTTTGCAACAAAATACCTTCAGCTCCTCACTATTGCAATGAGTGGCTGCAGCCTTTGTGCTATGCCTTTCCTCGTTAGGGGTTGTCCCATTCTGAAAGCTGCATAGCATCAACAGCTGGCATATTAAAACATTCAGTCAGTGAATGTCTTAGAAATTGACACTATCATAAAAGCACTAGCATTTCTTTGTACTATCAAAATTATTCTGACTATGATCTCTGTGCTTGGAGCAAGCTTCTCTGGAGAACTGGAGGTAGGAAAGGGGTGTGAAAAGGGTGGAATATATTGAGCTGACAAGATCTAAATATGTCAGATTTAAGTAGAAGATAGAGATGCAAAAGGTGATATAGTATCTCCTATCCATTTGCATGGGCAGTTTCATGGGAGTTTTTCGTATGTGGAATTATTTGAACTGTATTCATTGGATGTAAAACCAAATGAAAACAAAACCATGTTGTTGCTTATACCTATCTGCTTGTGAATTATGAAGCCTTACAGTGTATTCTTCAGTGTATCCTAATTACAATAAAATCCACCTGACATAAGGAAGACTTTTGACTGCTGGAGGCACCTCATTTTTTTGAGGTGCTGTGAAGGCAGCCCCTGAAGCTCCAGCCTGCAAGGTCCAGTGGAAAGGGAGGCACGTGAACACTCTGCATCCCCACTGATGCTGAGTGTTCAACAGCACAATGTCACTTCAAAGTGATTTTTGATCATACACCATTGTTGAGAAGGTACTAGTTACTTAAAAATTTTGCCCTTGGTGTCACCTTGTTCACCAGAAACCTCTTCTCTGAGCCAGCAGTTGATTGCTGAGTAATTGATCTTTGGGCTTACTGTGAAAAGCAGAGGGAATGATTCGTTTCTAGTATAAAACTAGAGGTAGGTGATAGGAAAGGCATACAGAAGTTCTGGCAATTCATAAATTCATCAGTGCACCTGCATGAGGAATTATACTGTGACTACTTCCCTGAATTTAAGTTCGTGCAAAAATATACACAGGTATGGCAGGAGTGGGCAGCAACCTTACTCCTGGGGGGAGTGTGGGGGCAGGGAGCTGGCAGATGGGTTTCTCAGTGGGAAACCTCTGCTATAGAAATGCAGTTTGTGTTTTCTTTCCAGAGCTTAAACCTCAGAATTTTAGTGAAGTGTTTTGGATAAGAATAAGTTTCTGAACTTGTTTAAATGAATATACAATTTAAGTATAACTTGAAGTAAGGTGGTATGATGCACAGCAATTTGAACTTAAAAAATTGAGTCTCTTATAGAAGATTGATCAGTCTGACCCTTGGAGGCATCCTATAATGAGCAGTCATATTTATCTATCAAAACAAATCTAATCTCCATTGATATATTTTATAATGTAGGCTTTTCTATACTGTAGATACCTTGTCTATACAGACAAAATCATTAAATGTGCCAGGGACTTATTTAAAAGCATAAAAGGAATAAAACAGAACTTTCATGACCCTATGTAGGGGCAAATATCTTTGTGTGACGTGGTGGGATAAGTGGTATTTCTGTTTGTCATCACTTGTATTTTGAAACCCAAATGAATCTGATGGTGTTATCAGACATCAATAAATTCAATGTATTGTATAGGATAGGGCAGCTTCTGCTTCATTTAAAGCAGTTGGCCATTGTGAATCATCCCTGGATAAAGGCTAAGCTGTCCAGCATAGTTCAGTAGACCAGCAAAGCCTTTCTCAAAATCTCTTAAACCCTACAGCCCTCTCCTGTTACACCAAGGTGTCACTCTAATTGAGTATTAAATAGAACAGAGCAAAATTGTTTGGAATGATCAAAGTGTATTTTCCTGTCTCTGAAATACTGAAACTGCAGCAAGTTTTATTTAAGAGCAATGACTTCCTTCTGAAGGGTAGTATGAAATTCATGATCTGTCATTTTTTTGACCTTAAGGTTCACGACTGGGATGTGGAAGCTGGTGTTCTAAAGATCCTTACTCCCTCTTCCTATACAACAAGCAAGAATACTGCTTGGGCTCTTAATTATAAGTTATATTTGACTGCTGTTAACGCAGTACAGTTGCTAAGACTCTATTAAAAAAACTTAAAGTAAACAACCAACCAATTTACTTCCGCCTCGGTATTTGCCGGTGGAACTTTCCCTCACCTTAAGTATAATAAAATGAGAAAGTCACATTCTGGATTCAGTAAGATGTATGAATTATATCCAAAGCCAACCTACCCCTTGGGAGTCAAGTCCTTAAAGATTTTTTAAATGCTTACCTCTTGGAACTGTATTAAGATTATTTCTTTCAACTGACAATACTTTCAAAGCAGGCAGGAGATCAACAATGCTGTACTTTTTAGACTCATGTGCAGGTGTAGGTATGTCCAGTGTGAGGGTGTGGATGGCATTACCACTGAGGTTTAGAGTTTCTAAAATGGGTAAATTTGTACAAGTAGTTAAAGTGAGTTCAGAAATCAAGTTGTTACTGAGGTTCAGGTGTTTTAGTATCCACTCTTCATTTCTTCCATCAGAGCACACAAAAGTTTTAATATTATTGTAACTCAAGTCAGCTGTTCCTGCTATTTGTGATACATCTTCTGGAATAGTAGATATTCTGGTAAAAGAGCAATTCAGTAAGAAATGCCCATCCCACCGGCACTCTGAACGTTGATGTGTAGCTGGAAAAATCCGCTGTGACTTGGTTCCCACTGATCCAGGAAGATTAAAGTAAAGGACCACAGCTATGACATGCAAGTGAAGGTTATCCATAGTATCTATGTATAAAATGTAGAATTATGGTTAAATTCAGCACAACAAGAATAAACAAAAAATATTTTGACATTAAAAAAAATCAACACCGAATAACCACAGCATTACCAACATTCTGCCTTAAACATTCAGTTTTGGAGTCTTACTTACTTTCAGAAAGAACATTCATAAACTGGTAATCTCACCCATCCCCATCATCTATCCCAAAAAACAATTAGGACCTTTTTTTTCTTTTCCAGCCTTTTGGTCGAGAAACACAACTTCTTGGGAGCTTGAGTTCTAACGACAGTGGAGACTTTTGAACTCTGCTTCAGGTACTGCACACAGTTACACTGAGCAAAGTCCACCACATACAATCTATGACAAACAGGTGTGGAACATTTTTATACTTCTAATTTCCATATCAATAAAACAACAATGTCTTTTTAATGAAAAACTATATTCCTACAAATAACACTTCTGAACTCCAGCTGCATTTTAGAATTTATTGTTTTATTTCAAAACAAACATTTGAAATTCTACTACCTTTCACCCATTGGAACAACCACCACATTTACAGATGGTGAGAGCTCTTCACATGCAGGTTGTTTCAGTGTACCCAGTATGGCATGTAGAGTGCACTTTATACACACAGAATCTTAAGTGCATCTGTGGGACTGAAATAAACAGTGTTCCACTCAATGTTTTAAAAACATATAGAAAAATGTACCATAGGCAGTTAGAAGATAAACAAGTAAATGCTCAACAGAAGGCATGTGTGGTGCCAATGTTTCTTAAACTGTGTAATATAAAACATTAACAATACATAGTGTCTAGCAAATTAGATAATTTATTTCATTTGGTATTTTTATCATTGGTTTTGCTACATTTTGACAAAAAAATCCATAGTTCAAAAACAGTTCTGCAGAACATGATTTAAGAGTACCTTTCTGACAAATCTTTCAGCCATATATTGCACACAGTATTTTAAGATGAACTCTTGATAATTATAAGAATCCAATACTAGAATATAGGCATGTCAGTGTTAATCAGAGAAGAGCTTTAATATGTGTGTAAACTACTTGCTCAAGACATTTTCAAGATGTACTTCAGCTTTGAAGATACTGCTCTTTATATTTTTTAATGTGTTTGCATTTGTATACATAAAGTGACAAACTTCCATTAGCATGAGAGTGAAAATTCTAAAAATGTTAGTTTATTTCCTCCTTTTAACTTTAACAGATACTAATTGAGGCACTGCTTAGCAGCAAAGATAGGTGTAAAGCAGCAAAATGTGTGTTAGTGTTTATTAACTATTAACTCTGATAAAACTATGAGGTCCATGAAAGTAGTATGCAAAATTTTAGTACTTCCCCATAATCTTTAATGTGACAACTCAGTGCTTTTTGCTACATTATATTCTGCTTATTCTGATTTTGTCAGAATAGCTCCACTGCTGTCCAGCCCCAAAACCCCAACAACTGCTAAGCATCAAAATCTGTCTTTGCCTTTGAGCAGTGAGGGAAATATGACTCCTCTGATCTCCCCTCCCCCATGTGCTGTAATGCCTGACTTACAAATGAATATCCCTCCAAAAATTACCTCCACCCCTACACATTCTGCATGAGTGCTTACAGCCTTCCACTAAGTTCAGAATTTGGGACCTTAGATATGAATTTCTTGTTACAGCAGGAGCTGATATGTATTTTATGGAATCCTATGTACTTTGAGCGCTGTAAAACAAGGGTAGATAGTTTACCTTCTGTAACAAATAATCAGTTCTGAAGTTAATGTATAAAACTCGTACAACTTTTAGGTAAAGAAGTGTGTGCTTATCAAGAAATTTGTCAAAAATCTGTTTTAAAGTCACTTTGAGACCTCCAATATTAAGGTTACTTCATGCTTCTGCAAAACAAAGCTATTTTAAACTGAAGAAATACATGGGGTGGGGAAAGAAGGAATCTTATAAATAGCTGGTCTATTTTTAGCAGAAACCACACATCACTGCTGCAAAAGCAGTTGGAAGACTGTAATAGGCCCCATTTCACCATAGTTTCACTGTTGACAAATTCTGATACACATGTATTTACCCTCATGTCCTACCATCACATTTAGAATTACCTGCAGTTTAACTTCAGAATTTAATTCTGATGTTCTCAGTAATGCATCAGTACTGACATTTATGGGGAAGGGGATATCTGACCACAGACACTTCTGCAACAGTTATGCTGAGATTATTACCTATCAAGTAAGGGACTCAGACACTGTTCACAGAGCACCCAGGAAAACACTATTTTTGGGTAGTAAGCAAGTTGTAAGTACATCTTTAAAAATGTACTTCTAATATAAATACGTTTTATAAGTACTTCACATAAATTAAGCAACTGCAGAATGCATTAGCTGCACAGACAGAATAGAAGTTCAAGCAACACTTCAATAACCGCAAGACTACTTCAAAATTCAGGTTATGTTTCCATACTCAGTATTACACTGCAAATATGATTTATGATAGCACAACTTTTTAACAACATGGCAGAAATAATGTGATATTTTAAAGTGAATCTGCCATTACCCCTCTCAGTACACATCTCGTAAACCACCTAAGTTTGGGGTAGATCAATGTATCAACAAGAAAGAAAAGTCTGCCACTTCAGCCATCCTAGGAAAATCTATTTCCAACAAAAAGTTGACATTCCTGTTGAAGTACTTCAGACTGCAGCTGTGTTTTCAGCAGTCTTCAAGGTCTTGGGACATAGGACAAAAATCTCTAGTGAGAACTGTAGGCAGTAGACTTGTTGCCAAGATCATGTTCTTTACATATATTCTACTGATCCCAATTTGAGAAGGTACTTCAATATGCATGTACACTGAAAGCTTACAGATTCAGTGCCACTATTGCAGCTAACAGGATGATGACCTAATACTGCTGACCGTAACAGCCTTTTCTTAAAAATACTATGTAAGAAATGTTAGTATAAACTGCTGTAGAAAAAGAAACCCTTGAAGGCATGCAATTACTTCATACAAATATATGTAAACACAAACGAGACATGTCCCAGCAGCAGTTTGTTTTAGTGTGTGGCTCCACACGGGTTGACAGATGTCTGACAGCCCATGTTATGCCCCGTCACCTGGACCTTGAACAGCGTCCCGTCCGCACACATGCAGAGCTTGAAGCGCAGCCAGTTGCCATTATTGAACTGCTCCCCGTAAGAGGAACTTGGCAGTCGTGACGGGCTAACCATCACAGTTCCGTTCAGGATGATGCTGTTTTCCTATTAAGGAGAGAAAAAAAAAAAAAAAGTTGTAAAATTACAGCTTCTAATATAAGTAAGGCAGATTGTTTTTGAGAAGGACAGACTGGTTTAATGGATAAATATCATCTCTAGGATAGCTGTAGAATCAAGAATAATACAAAAAGGTGTGTATACAAATGTTTAATTTTTTAATGAAAGTTATAGCAATACCTATGGATTTCTTGACTATAGTCAGCTTAACTATACTTAACTATTCCGGTGGTGGATCAATATTGAGAAAGACAGCAGTAAGCTGACTTTTCACTTTACATTCTTATTAGCAAATGCAGTTAATGTAAAATCTATAGACATGAAACAGGAAACAGTGTTTGAATTCATGCATGAAATTCATTCACACTTAAAAGTGCATATACCTTTATTTTTATCCTTTTTTGTAATTCCATATATACTGCCATCTTAATCTCCAAAAATCTTAAAGGAATGCTAGTGAGTCTTACAGCAGCAGCACAGAAGGTGCTATAAAACTATATGCTCTGCTCTTCTGGCAAAGATTGTCACCTACCAGAGGAGCTTAACTCCCTTTCATGTCAGTACAGAGGCAAATAGCTTAGCTTTAACTGCATAGTAGGTTTTTAGTGTCTTAACAAACAGTAGTAAATCAGTGTTACCTGAAGCTACTCAACCACTACTTAACAGCAAAGTAATAAACCATCAATTTAAATCCTACTAAATATACTGACTTTCATGCATGAGCAATTTATATAAAATTTGGAGCTATATAAAGCTACATCAGTTTACTATCAGCCTAAATTTGAAACTAAGCTGTTAAAAAAATTGCTTTGATTTGAAATACTTACTGCTTTTAGTTCCATGTTTCCACCCATTCGAAACTCAATTGTCTTGCCTGTGATGAAAACACCTTCATTACCCCGGACAATGGCACGACCATCAACCTTTATGTTTAGATCACTGGTTGCATTGCTGGTAATCTAAGAACATAACCAAAAGAACTGTATTACAGATTAGTGAAAATGTGCCACTTGTGTATGTCTCAGTAACTTGAATTACCTTAAAAGTAGTGCTGTGCAATTTAATAAAAAACTTGAATGTACTTCTTGCACTTCTGCCATTAGCTTCTGCATATTTATTATTTTTAATGTTCAACTTCAAAACAAGATTACTGAATTTTGGAAGGTATGTAAATTTAATTTTTTGTATAAAAATAATATAATTCATATGACAATTTTATGAGATATGCAGCTAACACTTGCACCAAATACAGGCTTCATATTAAGAGAGATTATGTAAATTTACTCCTCTGTTTTCACTTAATCTGTTCCTCTTACGTATTTTTAGTTGTAGGTGTATTTTCTTCAACAGGATTGCTCAGTGCTTCCAAAGGCACACGCAACCCTCTATAAAAACATTAACTCTACTCTACTGTTACCCAAACAAACAATGGGCTGTATTCTTATTACTAACAAAAAAGAAAAGAGACATACCCTCTCTGTAGAGGCCTTTTGTACATTCAAGATTTTAACTCCATTTGGCAGATGAAACTCATGAGTTTCATAGTCGGTGCTGAACAAAGTATTTTGTGTTCGTGGGTCAACAAATTCCATGCCAATATCGCTGGTAATAGAAGTTTTGTCTTTTTCCACGCTAAGCTTGGTCGTTCCTTGCTGAAATACAATCTTCAGAAACAAAGCCATGAACTTAATGATTTTTCAAATGTAACATTTATTAGCAATGTGAGTGTAATTCTCTAGTATTGCTCACAAACATTCAATTCATGGTATAACTTACAGGCTGATTATTCCCAGTGATCACCAAGTCTTCATTCCGTCTCCCTCCTACTGTGCTTTTATATAAGGGATGTATAACACCCATGTCAGACACTTGCTTAAACCGCAGCAAGCCACTCTCGTGGAATTCCATACTGTCACAACCATTGGGACCAATTCTTATCACTGCCCAGATAACCAGGGTAATCTGAAAGAGACACACATTTTCAACAATTATGTTGATCATTCGCATCTTCCTACTGCAATTATTATATTAATTAGATGTTTTATTTGAACAATTATTAATGCCAGGGTTTAAATAAGCTTTAAGAGCGAATTTACTTTAGTCTAATCCTACTGAAAACATCATAACACATTTAATTATAAAAAGCATTTTAAATTATTTTTAGACTTACTTGAAACAGTAACTAAAATTATTTTTATATATATATATATGTAGACAATGTTAAATCACAGCCATAATTACATCTTTTTTCTGTTTAAGGTTAATCATTGACTAAATAAATTTTCTGAACAGTTCAGCTTGGTATATACTTAACGCTGAACAGCAAGAATGCATCCTCACATATGGATGTGCAATGATGAAAAATAATTTAACTCCCATTGACCAAGCAATAAAAATGTGGCTATTAGAACAATGAAGCTTTAAAGTGCAGTGTCTGGTTAATTCTGAGTGTTCACATACAGCTCTGTAATGTAAAATATAACCATGTTTTATATGCTATATTTCCTGAATGTGTATGTACTAATAACTCTCATGGGGTGACCATGGTAACCAAAATAACCATGCCTGAATTTACACCATTCTTCCATCTAATCTTGCTCAGACTACAAAAGAACTAAAAAGAAAGGAGAAAAAAGAGGCTCTCCTTCAATACATTTTATGTCCTCAGCCATACTAGAAAAGTTTTATTTTTTTTACTGAACTGTCAGAATGAAATATGACCTAATGTTGCTTACACTATAGCTATTATACTCACTATCAGATTGATGACGGCCAAAATAAAAAGAACAACAATCACACATATGGCCAAATTGCCTTTCCTGCCACGTAACCCTGTCTTATGGAGACGGTCTTCATCAATTGGAATATATCCTGCTTTGAAGTTACTGTTGTGCTCCTTATTAACATTCCTGCGTTCCACAGCCTTCTCTCGCATAGACTTCTTCACCGGGCCGTTAGAACTTTGCTGTAACAAAAGGCAAGGGTTAGCTTTAAAAGGCATGTAAATTAGCTACAATGACACACTCATATGTATGCAAAAAATGTAAATTGACTGGTATAATATATTGGATATTATGTTCAGTATTAGATTTCAGTCACCCTGCTGTCAGAATACACACTTTGAACCACAGCAACCTCTGCTCACTCAGTGACTAAATTTAAAATCCAGATACTTTCAGACAATATATGGCTTTATACATAATTTTTATTGTGGCAAATAGGAATTATTAATTACACTGTTACAGATAACAAATTAAAACAAACGAGCTACCAAGAAATTCATCAAGTTTTTACCTCTCAGGGATGATACAGGACATAATCCTACAGGTCATCTGCCAATACACAGGATTTTAGTTCCATCCACGCTCATGTCAATAGTCACTCTCAGTAACTATTCAAAGAGTGTGGTGGATACAGTTTTAAAATTAGTTTGACAGTACAGGGTTTGCACTCAACTCTTACTGCTTGCATGCAGCATTGAGAAAGATACTGTGAGGCTTCAAACCTGGCATGGGGAACTTGGCCAGAGTAGCTTTCATGTAATAATCTGAAGTTATCAGATTGTAAGGGATGTCCTGTCAGTGTAACAAATTAATAGAAAAAAGTCTTGGACATATTCATAGTGAAAATAAACCTTTAATGTATTTTTCGTAGCTGTTCAAAATTTTGTTCCACTTCCCTTGAATGGAACAGTTTGTTATTTAGGGATTCACATCTTCAAAGAAGGAGTTTGATCTTTTGGACGGAATTAAGTTTGTTCACTTGAAATTAATCCTAAAGCTACACCTTAAGTAACTACACTTGCACAGGTCTACGCTGATGTAACAACACCGTGTTTTCTGCTGCTGCTGCTGAACTAATAAGAGATGGTGTTGAGAAAGGTGCTTGACCCGGATGAGTTTATGGAGGGTTCGGTCCCTCGGGGATGTTCTGGACCCACTGCGACCCTGCAGAACACACACAAGATGCGGTGCCCCGCAGGCACCCACCTCCCTCTCGCCCGTCAGTGCCTCGATGCGCGCCTCACTCCCCGGGCACAAACTATTTCTGTCTGTCACACACCCACGCCTGCGGGCTCCGGGCCGCCCCGTCCGGACAGCAGGCTCGGGCCGCCTCTCCCCGGCACTGCCGAGCCCGTCCCGCCGCCCGAGCGCCGTGTCTCCGCTCCCCGGCCGGAGCGCTCCGGCACCACGCCAGCCTCGCCCACGGCCGCGAAAATGGCGCCCCCGCCCGAGCGCCCCCTCCGCGAGCAGCACCCCCCGGCCGGACCGCCTGCTCCCCGCGGCCCCGCTCCCCGCTGGCCCCGGCGGGGACGGCGCCGCCGCCTCCCCGCGCCCGCGTCCCGTTGCGGACGGACCTGCTCGGGGGCGGCCGCCGCCATCTTCCCCCGCCGCCGCCGCCGCCGCTGCGCAGGGGCCGCGGGCGCCCCCTGGTGGCGCTCCGCGGGGCGGGTCCCTGCGGCCCGCGCCCACCGGCGTTACCCGGCAGCGCCCCCCAGTGGTTCCCGGGAGGCGCCGCGCTGCCCCCCCGCGCGCGCAGCGTTACCTGGCAGCGCCGTCACCGCGCCGGCCGTCGCCTTACCACCGCGGCTCCAAAGGCCCTCGGACGCGGCCCAGCCCAGGGGAAAGGGGACCGGGCTGACACTACCATCTCCGTTACACCTTCGCCGCCCGAGGAGTGCTCTCGGAGGGACACGGGAGTCATCGCACCGCCCCCGGGAACGAACTAACATCTGGCTATGGCAGAAGACTTAAAAAGTCTGTTGGGCGCAGGAAGCGTCCGAGAGCTGCAGCAGAAGCTGGAGAACTGGCATCACGACTACGAGGTGAGTTCTGCCGCTGCTCGGGGAGCGCAGCCGTTCCCTCCTGGGGGAGTACCGGCCGCCGCTCGCGTTCCACTGGCCGGTTTGGGACACCGCCCCGCGCGCGATTCCAGTTAGCGCAGTTTTAACACCTTTTCAGCACCCAGGGCTGCGGTTCTTCGGCTTTTTGTCCATGACGAGGCTCCCTGAAAACGAGGGTCGAAGGTTAAACGTGAGATTTGAGAGGTACTGCCTATGTTTAAAACAGAGTTGGGCGTTGGAGCAAACGATCGGCAGGTAGAATGACCGCGGGTGCGGTTGTGCTCGGAGTCGGCTGTGGCCCAGGAACGGTCAGGACGACGTGAGGGAAAAGGGTGCTGAAAGTGAGAACGGGTTATCCAGCATCCCAGCTCTCCTGGGTGGGGAAACCTGGTAGAGCTGAGAGGCTGCTGCAAGGCAGCACAGCCGCTGAAGGGCTTTCAGAACGGGGCTCAGGGAAGAGTTTAGGGTATAAGGAGAAGGCTGTAGTGGAATCCATGGAGGAGTAACGGGAAACTGAGGAGGCGGGACAGGTGAAGGAGTAGAGGTGCAAATTCAGGGAAAAATGAAGCGAAGGAACTTGAGACTTGACAGCTGACTTTGCTCAGTGGAAAATCTTAACAGAGTTTTCAGTCCTGCGTCCCCAGGTTTGTCTACCTTCAGGATGCAGATAGTTGGTCACGAGCCTGTAACCACCTACCGTGTGCGGTGGCTAGTGAGAAAAGATGCAGCGTTTTCAGGGGAAACTAGTTATTTTCTTTTACTTCATGGTTGGACAAGAGTTACAGTTACATAGCCAGTGTAACTCTGCAGGATTCATGACAAAGGACAGTTTTAAGGAGTTTGAGAATAGCTGGTAAAACTACCACAGAGGAGGAACAGTGCATTTCAAAATCTTGCAGGCGGATGGTGGAGGTAGACCTTAGGAGGGCTGAGCAGCGGTGGGGGCTGACCTATCCATCGTAGGTTGGTGGGGAATGGTCTTTAATGTCTTGGAAAATGAAGATGAGCAGTTTCAGGTTGCTGTTGCATAAAAGTAAGAGCTGGCAGATGGAAACATCGTGTTATGTTGCTGTAATGAGCTGGAAAAATGCGCTTTGCAGCTGTGTTCTTGTGGAGGTGAGCAGGTTGACTGTGCTCCCCAAGGCCTGAAGAAAGCATGTTGCAGCAATCAAAACACAAGCTGATGGGGACATGGCTGGGAATTTCAGCTGTTTTGGAAGCTTGTAAAAACCATATGGAGTCGTTAAAATCTGAAGACCTAGAGGGTGATCTATGTAGAAGGTGATACACAGGTTACAGGTAAAGATTAAGGAAGCAGGTACAATGTGTGTATTCTCCTGGCAGGTGCAGTAGTATCCTGGACAGATTAACCCCATCAACTCATTTTCAAAATTTCATTTGCTGAAAATGATGTAGTTTTGCTGTTTCCTAGGCATAATGCTGGATTTTGCTCCTTCAGTAGTTTATGTTTCAGTTTGGAACTCTTAAAAATCAGATGAAATTGCATGGAGGCTTTATGTGACTGCTGATGAAGCAAGATAAGAGCCTCATATGTATTATTTCAGCTAATATGGAATACCAGATTTTGGACTAGTTTTTTTTTAATCCAATAATCTGCTAGATTATTATTTTAATAACTGTTGAAAGATTTTAACTCAGATTCACAATTTCTATGATTATTTTTTTAGAGACACTTGTGGTTGCAGCCTCTTTATGATGGAAAAGGAGTAGGTTTTCTCAAGTAGTGAATTACCTGGGTCACAGAAGTCCTGATGTCTTGTTCATTTGCCTACTAAAAATGTGAACCTTAAAAAATGAGTATTCTAATGGATCCAGTAAGAAAAAGTTAGGAGGATGTAATTATAGGTGGGAAAAATGCCATGATTGTAACAGGGATAACTTTAAGTAAGCAAGCCCACACAGATGTAGTAATGCACATTAATTTACAGATGAATTCCAGTGGTGAAAATATGAGCCGATGCTGTGAAATATTAGAACTGAACACCGCGATTCAAAAGCAGCTCTTCTCAATTCTCAGTGAAACATCTCAAGGTAAATCAGTGTCTTGTCTAATTATTAATTACACACATTTCACATAGGGCATTTTTTTCCAACTTGGCTCTTTCTGTAAGCTTTCTCACCATTTCTTAATGTATGTGTTTTCTTAGATGCTGATAAATGCGCAGAAGTAATAAAAAGCTGTATCGCGCCAAGCCCATGCTGTGCTGCTTCAGGAGCACAGGTGTGTAAGAAACTTATTTTAAAGGAATAGAACTACATGAATTTATACCTGCAGAAAGGCATTAATGAATTTCTGTTAATATTAGCATTCCTCTCAGATTTTACCTAATGAAATATATCCTTAGTTGCTCGTGGACACCCCTACAGAGACAACCATGGTATTGTGAAGGGATTTGCTCTGTATAAGAAGTCTAGGTCACTAAACTACTTTCCTTTTCTAGGTAAAGATCTGCTATGTTTATATTTGCAGAGACATCATAGAAGTATTTATGCCATATCTCTTTTAGAAAAATTAACACTGAAAATACATGTATAAACTGAAGGTGTGCATAAACTCTGTGTATTAATCTATGAGCTCCTTTTATTTTTTTTTTAAAGAAAAAAATTCTAAAAATATTATATTATTTCCTGAAGTAGCTAAAAAAATAAGTACTCATGTGTGTCATGATACCACCATGCTCCTGGAGTTCCTATGTACTTGGTATTTACTGAAGGGGTGTAATACTAACCATTTGGCAGAAAACACAGAGATGCTGTGGCTTTCTGTTTTGAAAGAAAATAAGAGATGGCTAATTAAGACTAGGGGAAGATCTACAAGATCCTGAAATTTGACAGTGATGTCTCTATGTTCTTTGGTTTCTCATTTTTACACCTGCTCTGTCAAAATCTTTCACAATTAAAGTAGGACAAATAAAAAGTGATATCCCTTAAGAGTCAGATTATAGTATAATGCAGGAATGGGGCTCTGAAGAAACCCCCAAAAATATAGAATAATGATGTTATTAAATGACAGTACCCCAGGCATACCAGTTACAGATTTGTCATTACATGTGACATTCAAAATTTAAAGAAAAACCTGTTGCACTAATCCCAGTACTAGCAGGCCATTATATGGGTTGTTAAAGGCAACTACATGTGTAGTAGTGTAGTAAAGTAGTAGCTTTCTGGAATGACAATACTTGCCTCCTGTGTTCTAATAACTTTTTCTGTTATTTTGTGTACATGAATTCCCAAAAAGTTTACTTCAATTGGTGATGTAGTCAATCAGAAGTTGACTAACTGATAAAAACCAACTGTGCAACACATCTGCAAAATGTTTTGTTCTGATGATTCAGGCAATAAATTTGCATATGCAGACCTTCCATAATTTCTACCATGAGGTATAAAATAAGTGAATATTTTTCTTTATATAATTGAGTCTTTGTTTGGTATGCCTGAAAGGTATTGCTTATGTCTCAGAGAGAATACAATTACTTTTATTCTCAGTTTCTTTAGAAATTGTTGTTGCTGAACTATTTAGAACTACATCTGCCTATAAAGCTATAGTACTTTGCTGAGGGAATCTATAAGGCAGAACATTCAAGCAGTGTGACTTCATTTCCTGGTAGGATTCAGCTGGAGAAGAACTACAGCTGTGTGATTTGGCCAGCAATCCGAAATGTCGACTGCAAGATTTGGAGAGCAAACTAGCTGAAACTCGTCTGCAGATCAACCAGATGGAACGAGAGTAGGGAATTTAACTGCAATTCCTTTTGTTTGTTTTTTGTTTTTCAATAAGCTACATTTTTCCCTTGACATCTAAATATTGATGGAGATTTGTAAAATATTTAATTTCTGGCCTAAAACCAGAGTTTCAAAATGCATCACGTCTCTGTATTATGTGTGTGTATCCAAAGCAGGGTACAAATGATACAGTCACACCCACATTCATAAATTGACTTGGTAGGTTTTGCTTCTGACAGAGGTGTTGGAAAACACGCCAGTATTCTATGTAAAAAGGTTTTGTATAGTCCATGAAAATCACATGTGGAGTTACATCTATGAAATGTTGCATCCTGAGCAAATCCTAAATAAAAAATCAGTTGAGTAGCTATAGTGTAACATTTACTGAAGGACTTACAACATGTCACAATTAATTATGCAACGTAACTGATATGTAAATATCCAGGAAGATAAAAGTCACTGTCGTAAGATGGATGAAGAGAGTTGGATTTCCAGATAGGTGACTACACCTGAACAGTTTTTGCCTAGTTGCTTAAAACATACGTTGTGGAGCAATGTAATATAAAAATTACTAAGTTGCTTCAGATACAAATTTGTGCAGTTATTACCAGTTCCAAGGACATTTAAGATGTAGCGTCAAGTGGCAGACACATTATCATGCATCCTGTTAGCTTAAGAGCAATGAATATTTACAAGTCTTGGGTCAGTACATTAAGTGATATAATTCATGCCCTTGCTAAGTGATTCCAAGAATATCAGTTTGGATTTTCCCCATCCCTATTTCTAGAACTCATCTTCCCAAATCTACTTTTCTTTCCCAGTTGTCCTTTATAGTAGAATTCTTTAGCCCTCTTTTACTACTATTCCTGCTAGAAGCCTTTGCAGAAGGAGCTGACTAAGGATGGAGCTGAGAAATCTTTCCTCTTAGCAGATGTTGCAGGCCTTATTACCTGTGGTCATCTCAGTCAGCCTGCACCTTATAAAGGTGGAACAAGAATCTTGTCAATTGAGAAGTGTTAGAGCTTTTGTTGGTTCAGATCCTCAAAAATCTCACCAGGGTCCTCCAGTAAAGGAAGGATGGAGTGAATACCTTCAAAACAAATAGAAAACATCTTTTTTATTTTTTCCTTCCACTTTTGGTAAGAGGAAGGCAACAATAATACTGGTGTTTGGAGAGAAAGCAGAGATGTTGGGTTAGTTTTTAATATTAAGTAAGAGTAAAGGACAGAAGATAAGCTTGCTTCACTGGTTGTCTGCCAATCTTTAAGAAACACTCCTTTCGGGGACAGCAGGAGAGGAATTGTTAGTTCTTGTTATTACTTGAATAATATCTGTGAGAATGAACCTGATAGAAGAAAACACCTGGGCTCTAGATCTGTAGGAAAGAAAACTGAGCTGGTTTAGTTAACATCTTAAATATGAGAAAGAAATTAGTTTCTTTTAGACCTGATCATTTGAGCTAGCATAAGGACACCAAATGTTAACCAGTGATTTTTCCTACAGGATAGAGTGCTGTATCCACTCTCCTGCCACAATACACTTACACAATTTAAAGTAAGATCAAGGGTGTGCTTTTTTTCATTTGTTTTTAAACTCTTGATTTTTCCTGTATTTCAGCATAAGGAAAACATGCTGAAATTATTCAACAAAACATAAGGAGCTTGCTCAATAATTTCCCTCTTTTTTCTAAACCTGTTGTTTGATGATGAGGATTAGTTGATAGTTTACATTGATAGGACATCTTGTGACTGACCATTCTATGGGCTTAAGTCTGAGGGCTTCCTGTGCTGAAGGCTGCAAAGTCTTGAGGAAGTCAGAGCAAGTGAATGACTGTGAGCATCAGATTCAACTATTGTGGGATGAGGTTTCTATCCTGGATGCCCAAAAGTCTATTCTCCAGAGCAGGTAGAGGCCTTACTCAGAAAAGTCCCTGAATCATAGAAATCAGTCATGTTAGGTAGCATGAATTTTCTGCTCATTTGAAATTGAAGTGTAAACAAAAGCTAGGCTTTTTCACTTTGTAATGAAGGAACATAAAGTCTTTAGATGACTTCATCTAGTGTCCAAATATTTTATTTTAAAGCAACTATGTTAAGTTTCAGACAAAACAGCAAATAAGGCACCTTTACAAAATACATAGAGAGCAACTGTATGGAATAAAAAGAGAGTTTTTTGTTGGTGAGTCCTCTTATAAAAAAGTTCTGCCCTGTAATCATACAATGTTCAATTTTCACTTGTTTGACTTCGGCAGTACTCTTCAGTGGTACTGAAAGAGGAACAAATGTCAAAATATTACTAATTAAAAGTGTGTTTCCTAGGAACAAAGTGCTTGGCTACACATGCTTTAGGAATTACTTTACTTTCACCATTTATGCTTTAGCCCTTAAAAGGTATTGATGAAAATGCCTTCATATTAGACTAATCAGCTGTAGCTTCTTTAATTACATTGGCAAAAATCTCACCTTACTCTTGTGAAAATTAAATTGACAAAAAATCTGCTTTAAGGAAAAACATCTGAGGATGATAAAGTGACATGAAGCTTCTTTGCCTGTGTGTCGTAGGCTTGCACGGACCTGCCCTCCTTGCTCTCCTTGCCCTCCTTGCTCTCCTTGCCCTCCTTGCTCTCCTTGCCCTCCTTGCTCTCCTTGCCCTCCTTGCTCTCCTTGCCCTCCTTGCCCTCCTTGCCCTCCTTGTGCTCCTTGCCCTCCTTGCCCTCCTTGCCCTCCTTGCCCTCCTTTCCGGTGTGGGAGCAGCCGACCTGTTTGCGTGAAGAGCTGGTCACCTGCCCAGAGCAGACGGGTCCATGCTTCGCGTCGCGCCTGCCTCATAGCGCGCTTCAACTTCATCTATGCTAAAGACCGCTTGGATGCAGAGGCCCGTTTGAGGACATTCATCTGTGACATGGAGGTGGTGCAGAGGATAATATACCTTGCAGTTGTGGTGAGAAATAAATAGTATTTCTTATTTTACAAGAGAGGTGTTGTAAAACACTATGTCTGCATTGGATTAAATTGTGGGTACATTAGCATTTCTGTCAAATGCAGAGAAGAAAAGCTTTCTTCTTTTTTTATTTTGGTTTTTCTTTCTTCCCCTCACACTTCTACATTGAACTCTCAATGTAGTGTTCTATCTGACCTGTCCCAAGATTGGAACAGGGTCAGTGATTTATCGTACAGGTACTAAAAGAAGACTAATTTGGTCTGAAAAGTAGATGATGCCTGCAGTGCTCAACCTTGCCTTAGTTAGAAAAATTCTTTCGCGAGTGCTGCATTAAATACTACAACACTAGAAAGCTAAAAATCTTTCCATATCATGCTTTCCTTATGCTTGTAGCTATGTGCTTCTTTAGTTTAATTAGGTCCCTTGAAACCACCTAGATACCCCACATTTACCATTAACTCAGTTTGAAGAAAGTTTTAATTTTTTCTGTATTGAATCTTCTTTTCTATAAAAATGATATAACACATACCTGTGTTAGAGAGGCAGCATCTCTTAATGTGTGATCCCAAACACATTTAGCTTAGTAAAGATTTTTTATTTCAACTGTCATTCAGTTTACACTCTCCAATCCAATTCAATCAGAGAATTCCTTCCCAATGAGTTAACTTTCTCCTTTACAGTAGTGTATTATATTCCTCCTTATTATGATGATAGTTGGTTCAATTCATTTTCTGAGATAACTGATAAAAAATAATTTTGCTCTCATGTATTTAACTAGATGTTCCTTGTGTTTGCAGGAATCTTTCCGTGCAGCAAGGATGGCCTTCTGGAAGCTCAAAATACATCTAAAAGAGTCTTTGCCTCTATGTCACTTGGCGGGACCTGGGTCAGCTGAACTTGCTATCCTGGATTATATGGCTTGCCACAAGGATGTGTATGACGTTTGTTGCAGTGTCCAGGTAAATCAAGGGCAGAGGGGCAGTGATGTGGTGATCTCTTTCAGGAGCTAGTAAATTCAGAATATGTAAACGAGAAATGCACTGTAACCAGTTAACTTTTCAGAACAATATTGCTAGGACTAGTATATATATGATTTAGTAATAGTTTGTTTTATTTGTTTATTACAACATATTCTTTTTGAAGCTATTGTTTTCAGGAATAGTCCAAGGCAACGTTACTATGAGTTTCTTATACTGATTTTTAAATGTAGAAAGCTGAGAGGCATATTTAAGGGGGGATTTCTATACTTGCTTGTGAATAAAATCATTAATGCAAATTACTATGTATGTTTATTTTCAGGAAGTAATTTGCACCTTGAGCATGAATCCAAAGCTTCCGTGTCCAGTAGAGGTTGATTTTGCTGTGCTCAGCTGTTTGATTCGAGAGTTGTGCTGTTTGGCTTTTCAAATGCAGACACTCCTTCCTGCTCTTGATATTGCTGTTGGTGTTGATGGAGAGCTTTTCAATAAGTGCATGTAAGAAATCTTTAGATTCAGTCAGACTCTTACCATTAAAGGTTGTGTAGTCTACTTGTTTCCCAATTAATATAAAAGTTTAAGATTACTAAACATTAATTTGCAGCAAAAAAAACCCTGGCCTGTAGTGAATTTGGTCTGTCTTTAAGGTTTAGGATAGTGTCTAAATACCAGCATGTACACAAGCGTTAACAATTATTGTTTTAGTGAACAGCAGAGCAATTTTCTGGATTGACTTCAGTCTCAAGAACATATTCAATTTATCATTTAAGAAGAAAATTATCATCAGCTTTCCCTGCTTAGTCTCTATCTGCCTTTTTAAAAATGCTTGCATCTTTGTTCCTCCTTACTGGCCTGTTCTATAAAAGTCATGTTTACTGAGGTCTGGCAGTTGATGCTGTTACCAGGATCATCAACATGTTTGCTGCAACTTCCAGGCTGTGTCTGCTGTACAGCATACAAGTATTAATATACTCCCATCACTTCTGGCTTAGAGCTGAGAAAAACCAAAACTGCCTCTTAAGAATGGAAATTTTGTAAAAAAAAATCCACACCATGACAGAGTTTTCCTTTTTTCTATAGGGTAAAGCTGTTTTTTTAGCAGGCAGAGAGCTATAGGGTGCTTCCATGTTGTCTAGAAAATTAATGGGATTGATAGGTCATAAAAAATTGCTCTCAAAAGAAAAAAAACATGACATCACTAAGGAGGTTTCTAGTAATAATTTAGAATAGAGTGGAATCCAGGTGGTGAAGAGCTTGAGAAGTCAAGGAAGGAAATAAAGAAGATGAAAGTAGACTCTGGACAGAGTACAAAGTCATATAGGACTACTCAATGATACTATCCAAATACAGGGCAGCTAGCTTTTGAAACTCATAGCTATTGGCTAAATTAGGAAGCACTAACACTGTGGTATAGTCTTGGGATGCTTTCTCTACCTGCTTGGTGTGTATGGCCTTAAGAAACCATATGTAATATGTTTTTTTGTGCTGCTGTGGGAGACACATATTCATATCTATCTGCCCATCTAGATAAATGTGGGACATGTATATGTTTACATGTATAACATGTATATGTGGTACACAGAGATGGAGCAAAACTTGTAGAAATTAAAATATCTCTATTTATTGTGTGGTAGCATTCTTTAAAGGGTCAGCCAAACATCATTGTACCCTATTGCCTTGCTTTATGCCTCTGGTTACAACATTGTTTTATATAACTTGCTATTGTAATATATTATTAAAGTATAGATCCATAGCTTTTTAAAAATTTCTGTTATTTGGTATTTGTTCTGAGTTTGAATCTATAAAGCCAGATGTGTTATTTAGCCAATATTCCAGAGTTAGAGAGGTAGTCTATATACCTTTGAATTAATTTTTCACAGTTAAAATGTCAGTGTTTCATTATCAATATATGAGGATCTTGCTAATCAAGTTGCCTCATGTCTCATAAGATACTAAGATGTATATAGTTGAGTATTTCTGTAATATCCTTTATAGGGTGTTTGCTTTAGCAAGGTATTTCAGGAAGAGGGGATGTCTGTGTCTTAAATTGCTTCTCAGAAGGTTTAATCTGTCAGTGAACACAGGGGCCCTGGCTTGTGTGGGATTTATGCAAAAATTAAGATCTAGCGGCCTTCTAAGTGTGAGATGGCTTTATTAGAATGTCTGTCAGTATAAGTAAACAGTATGTTCTGCTAAGTCTGTCTTCCAAGTCCATTTCTTTTACAGAATCACATAAAGAATATGTATTTTTGTGATATGGAAAGATATTAGAGTTGTAGCTACTTTTTATCAGCATTGATTTGAAACATATTTATCTTTTGGCACTTATATGCAAACATTTCTTGTACTGTTTGTTTCAACAGGTACTATCGTAGTTGTGACTCAGATTTCACAGCTTGCTTTGTGGCCTATCACGTCTGGCCTGCTCTGATGGAAAATGGTACTGTAATTGTGAAGGGAGAGGTAGTCACCAAAAGAACTGTTCCGGTACGTATTTTGTTAAAGGAAAATGTTAAGGGAAGTAAAGTGGATTTCAGCACTGTTTTTAAAATTTAAAAAGATAAGTTTTTAACTATTCCTATATGGATTGAGTAGTATATCAAATATCAATTAGGTTTTAGTGCTTCATCTTGTATATAGGATGAATAGTTCCATTTTCCTTAATGCATTAATTATGCAGATGTATGGTTGTTGTCAGAGCCTGTTCTAAGGAGAAAGCTTACTGTGTTTCCTGTCTGTCCTCAAACTTTGTCTCTAGCATGGCAAGTTTGCTTGTAGAATCTGTCTTTATTAAATCTTCTCTCTCAGAAAAGATTTGTCAAACTCTTCTCTTGTAGTGTTGTCGCAGAAGCAGAGTTAGAAGCAAAAGCTGCTGCTGTGGCCGTCGTCTCCTGCCTGGTCAAGTAAGCCTCTGCTAAATGTCTGTAGTGTTAAGAGCATCAAGTATTTTAAACAGGAGTGTAGGCAACCTCTTAAAAATGCTGATGTGCCACATGTACACTGTAACATTGGGAATAAATACCATTGCTTGATAGTCTTGGATGAGGTGAAGCTGCTGACAGGTAGTTATTGGCTGGTATAATGATCAGTAGAGCTACTGTATGAGAAACAGATCATATTTAAATTCTCTGAAGTATCAACAATGTATCTTGGAATGCTTTCCCCCTACTCCCCTTGCTTTAGTGCCCTTCTGAATAAATAACTATATAATCTAGAAGTGTTTCAGTCATTTTGGAGTACATACACAACACATTCCTGCCTCCTGGAATTAGTAACCTAAATTTACTCCTGATTTACTAAAAGCATCAAAGGAGTGGAAAATAAGTGTAGGATGAGCAGGAAGGGAAGGTTGTACAAATAAGCTACGTAAAACAGCAGAGCTCTGCGTATGGTTACACAACGTTTGTAATTTCTATAAAAATTTCTATAAAAAATGTGTATATTTTTCTAATTGTTAGTCCATCTTATTAAATGGACATAGGTGCCCTCAACTTGAAATGTGAATATTGAAAACGTGAGAGGCTTTGGGTAGGGCTCACTTTTTTGTGTGTGTGCAGGCTGTGAAAAAAAACTAGAAAGTTGTTGAACTTGACTTCGTAACAGTAGAGCTGCGCTGATAGACATGCAGATTTTCTGGATGTTGATGGGTCCCCAGGTGGCTTTCTTGGGTACAGTTCTTTAGCACACCTGATTTTTCTTTTCTGTTTGTCTTGCAGGTAACTCGAAGCCGCAGTCTTTCAACAGTGAGGGTCAAAAGTAAGTAGGCATATTTGTTCCTAGTGACTCATGGTTTTCACATTAAGCCCTTAAACAATTGAACAAAGGAACAAAATAACATGTTGAACATCTTTGATTCTAAAATAATTGCCCAAGTCTTATTTTTAAATTGGGTAGCCCTTTTTTTATGTGTGGCAAAAGGCTGAGATTTCTGACTTGGAGGGGAGCTTGTTTTTTTCACTCTACTTGGGCCACTGTCACAGTTTCTGTCTGCTGGTTGCCTTCACGTGACCAGTGCTGTAGTAAGTAAAACTTGCTTCCTTCCCTACACAAGAGACAGTTTGCTGTGGGGGCTTCCAGATTCCATGGAGATAGCTAAGTGGTGACAGTGAAGTGAGGGATTTTAGGCAGTATGAGTGTATGCCTATGTTGAAGTCAGCCCAATTTAGAGATTTAGAAAATATAATTGCACTGAAATGCACCTTTTTCTTCCTTAGGGCGCTAACTGAACATCTTCCTGTGGTGCAGTGTATCTGGATTCAACAACTTTGCTGATGCCTTTTCTTCTCAGAAATACATCAAATCTCTCAAAAATGTGAATGGCAACTGTCACTTAAAATGGAGTTTGTGTTCAGTGTGTTTTTTAAAATTATAGAAGGCATATTTATAATTTTAGAAGCTAAACTCTTCTGATTGCAAAAAAAAAAAAAAAAAGTGCATGCAGAACAGGATAATTTGGCAAAATTTCCAAAGCTCTCAGGAACCCATGATGTAATCTTACAGGTGGAGATAGAATTATTGCATCTAGAATGTTTGTGTTCCACAGATTCCAAATGATGCAGTTTATCTTGACAGGATTTTAATATAACCTAAATGGTGAATGTTGAAGAACGTTGAGGTTAGCTATTACTTGAAAACAATGTAATTAATTGGTGCTTATTTACAATTTTTAGAAAACAGCAATAATCATAAGATGTGCCAGTCAGACACAGCAGCCTTTTAAATATATCCTTGTGATAAACTGAATTTTCTAACTACAGTGCAGAAGTTGCACAGAGCGATCATAAAATGCCAATACTGCAGCAATCCCCAGGGCTTTATTGACATTTATGCATAAATGCCCGCCCGTCCTTTAGCAAGGCAGTAATAGTTCTTGCTTAAATACATTGTTACTTTGAAATTATTGTAATAAAAGCTTGTAGTTTTTGTACACTAGTAGAAGTATTTTGAAAGTGTGGCACTGAGTATTTGTAGGCTTGAAATATTTGATTGAGGCCTCTTCAGTGTCACACTTCATGAGCTTTCATACCGTATTGATAGATCAGTAATTTTTGCGAATACAGTGAAAAAATCCTGTCCAGTTAACTCTTACTGTGGGCATTTATTACACTTTAAATGTAAAAATTGGAGAGAGCTGAAGAGATTTAACAGTGATAAAATATGGGACAACATGCCATCCCATTCATACCATCTCTGAGCCAGAAAGAGATGGCTAGAGCCTGGAGAGGAGGGTGTGCATGTCAGTGGAGGACACCTGAAGGAACAGCACCAAGGAATTCCAGCCACTCCAGGCAGGAAGTCAGCTTCACCAGGGGCCCAGCTTAAATCCTCTATTCTAAAAAAACAGGTAAGATGGGAAGTAAACAGGAGAAACAGAGACATGCGCTGGCCTACAGGGCTATGGCCTAATTGGCATCCTGAGAAGTGGTGGGATGGCTTCTGTGTCTGGAGGGCTGGAATGGAAGGGCAAATGCACTTTTATGAGGGAAAGACGGGAGATGAATGGTGCTGCCCTCTCTGTCAACCAGCTGGAGTGTATGGAGCTCAGCCCGAGTATGGATGAGGAGCTGTCTGAGAGCTTATGGGTAAGGATTAAAGGGAGGGCAGGAACAGGTGTCATTGTTAGTGGGGAACTGCTACAGGCCACCTGGCCAGAAGAACTGAGTCAATGAGGCTCACTGCAGACAGGTAGGAGCAACCTCATGTTCCCAAGCCCTGGCCCTCCTGATGGACTTCAACCAGCCTTATACCTGTTGAATGGACAACACAGCAGGGCACAGGCAGTTCAGGAGGTTCTAGAAATGCGTTAATGAAAACTTCCTTCTCTAACTGAAAGGAACCGCTGAGGGTAGGTATGCTAGACCTTATCTCATCAACAAGGAGAAGCTGGTGGGGAATATGAAGCTCAAGGGCAGCCTGAGCTTCGGTGACCACAAAGTGGCGTAGTTTGAGATCCTTGAGTCAATGAGAAGAGTGAGAAGCAAACACGCTACCCCGCACTTCAGGAAAGCAGGCTTTGGTCTCTTCAAGGATCTCCTTGATACAGTGCTGTGAGAGAGAGCCCCGGAGGGTAGAGGGGCCCAAGAAGAGCTGCATGATATTCAAGGGTTGTCTCTCCAGGGTCAAAAGCAATGTATTTCTACAGAGATGAAATCAGAGAAGAACACCAGGAGACCTGCATGGATGAGCAAGGAACTCCTGGACAAACTTAAACAGGTAGCTTACAGAGGTTGAATACAGGGAAAGGTAGCCTGGGATAAACACAGAGAAATTGTCCCAAAAGCCAAGGTTCTGTTCAGGAAAGCAGAAGCACCAGCAGATGTAAATCTGGCCAAGGGCATCATAAGTAACAAAAAAAGCCTCTTCAGGTGCATCAACAATAAAAGAAAGACAAGGGAAAAATGTGTGTACTCTCAGCAAGGACCTAGTTACCCAGGACATGGAGAAGACCGAGGTATTCAGTGACTTCTTTGCCTCAGTCTTCACCAGCAAGTGCTCCAGCCACATTACCAAAGTTGAATACGGTGAAGTCAAGGATTTGGAGAATGAAGAACTGTCTGCTGTAGGAGGAGAATGCGTGTGAGAACATCTAAGGAGCCTGAATATACGCTAATCCACGACATCTGATGAGTAACATCCACAGGAACTGGCCAAGGAAGTGACTAAGCTACTATCCATCATATCTGAGAAGTCATGGCAGTCCCATGAAGTTCACATAGAGTGGAAAAGAGCAAACATAACCCCCATTATTAAAAAGGGAAATAAAGAGGACCCACTGCTTGTGGGAAAAGCAGATGCATCCTCATTGTTTACACTCTGCAGGACAAACAGCATTTTAAATGTCAAAAGGTGTCTGGTGCTCTCTGGCTTGTGAGATGATGTTTTTGTTTTGACTCTGCAGAAACTGAAGGGAAAAGCCATTAAAAGGAGAAGAGGCACAAAATCAGATAAAATGATCAGAAAATGTTGACAGGACAAGCAGGGTAAAGATGTGACTGGCAATTGTTGCATGTATGCATGTAATGTGCAGCAGAGCTGATGTCTCACAGCATGGACTTGGCTGGCGAGGCTGGTCCTGCTGGAAAATGCAGAGTAGCATTGCTTGCAGTTGGGCTGGTTGCTCTCCCTTCTGCCCATGGGACCATCCTGGCAGGATGGAGGACTTGTGCTCTCTTGGCATGTACCCAAATAGGGGCTTCACCTGGAAGCAGAGTAAAAACCTTATGAAACCTTCCCATAGTGACTAGAAAGGGCTAGTGGGCATTTTAGATGAAAGTTTATGTGTTAACCTGAAGACACCAACTTAAGGGAAAAAAAAATTACATCTCATTTTCCTGAGGAATTGTTTGTCTAAGAAAGGCTCTGGGCTCCTTTGCCCAGCACAGGACGCAGGCTGAATATTTCCCACGAGATGGCACTATTGCCTTAAGAACAGAAAAATCAGGTTTTCATTTCAAGTGCAGTTTTAAAAGCTATTGCCGTTGTGAGGTTAGCCAGTAAATGCATAATAGCCACAAATTGGAGCAGTATCAAGAGATGTCAAATGGAGAATTAGCTTGCTGATTGAACTATTGAAGTTTGCTGCCTGATAAGAGTATGAAACTCCTGACGTATGTGTTGTGAGATGAACATCACTATCGATACATTATTGGAGAAACTCTTTGATTTTAGGGTTTTTTCCTATTGAGGGGTCAATTTTTCAAAATTAAATTAATGAGTCTTTCCAAAGTGAATGGTATTTATCTGGTGGTATTCTGACAATTATTCTCAAAGAACATAAATAAAAATGAATCCCAAACTGAAATTCAGATTGAAAAATAGCTACTCTTAATATTCATAATTTTAAAATTACTTCTAGTTCTTACCTAGTTCAAGAAAGTGGCAGCTTGAGAAATTATCACCTGTGTGATTTGTCGGTTGCAATGGTGTACTGGCAAGTTGCTTCACTATTCCCTTTGTCTATGACTGACATAGATGTTTTTCTAATGAAGTCTGCAAAGTCTTTGAATCAGAAATGTACTCCCTGCGCATTTCAGCTGCACCTCTCTTCATTTTCTAATCAAAGACAGTCAATTGCACCTGCCTAACCCTCGGGATACAGCTGGAGGGAACACTGCTGTCACAGCAACTGGTTTGGATAATTATGTTCTTCAACTTATTAATTACTGTTTTAAAGGAAAGTTTGTTTAGCACTATGCCCTATTTTTAATTGCAGTGCTGTCCCAGAATGTAATTTTTCTGATACTTTGAAATTTTCTTCTGAGTCCAGTGCAAATTTATTTATTTCCAGGCTATATATCTTTGTTCTTGTGCCAGTGTGATTATCTTCAGAAGTCCTTGTTCCTCGCCTTTGGTATTTGCCCTACTGTTGAGTACAATCATCTTTTCTCCTAGTTTTTGTTTCTCTGAACTAAAACCACCAAATCTTTCCATCTACTCTGACGAGAGGTTTTTCATTGCCCTGATTATCCTTTTTGGGTGGCTCTGGGTGTATTTCTGTTTCAGCCCATCTTTCTTGAGTACAAGTGACTAGATATGGTGCCCAGTAGTCAGGGTAAGGCCTGACAAGAGCTTTGTATTGTACACTTGTCAGTTTCATTGTACCATTGTTGTGTGTCTGTGGGGAGTGGCTCAGTATCTGTGATCAGTTAATATGCTTTATTATCCTCAGTTGTTTCAAATTGATGAGTCTTTTCTCCCCTATAACTTAATTCATCCACACATTTTTTGGTGGGCTCTAGATGTCTAAATGCTTTTCATATAAATGGTGTGGTTGTTTTAGAAATGCTGAACTTTGACATCCATTTGCACACATACCATGACAATGGTGTCTGTGAATGCCATAGTGCATCATGGTGTGCTCCTCTTGCTAAAACTTACTGCAGGGTGATTATTTGCATTAAGCTGCCTGAACAGATTTTAGTAACCAGCCTTAAAAAGTTTTAAAGTAGCTACATGTAGCTTGATGATGCAAAGGAAAATATCTTACTTAATTCTATTTATGTCTACTTTGCCAAGAGAAGAAATAAATGTGAAGAGCATCACTGTAAAGTTGTGGAAATATAGGAGACCGTTCAATGGACAGGTCTGTCAGTATTAACAGAATGAAATACTACAAATTCCCCATGAAAAGAAGTTATGTACCTGATGGTTTGCAGAAAAAGCTTTAAATAACATTTAAATAACATTTAAATAACATCTAACCTTGCCTTTTGTTTTATTGATGACATGGCTCTCATTTTTTGAGACATGCTTT